CCCGTTAGGCCATTGAATTTCTGAATCCCTGTGCCTGTGGATCAGGAGCTCTCTGTGAAATGGAATCTATTTTGTTCAGTGATTTCCTGTTACTACACCTTTTTTAAAAAAATTATTTTTTATTTCTTATTATTTGTGTGTGTGTACGTACTGCCAAATTGGATCCGACTTGTACAAGAGATTGTTCCTCCTTCTCCAGCAGAGCATCTGGTGGATTCGAACCATGCACCAACTACACTTTTATGAGGTGACGGTAGTAGGTCAGTGGGCAGGAGCTGTGCTGCCAACCCAAAGGCAGGTCGGCCTGAATCCACCAACCACTCCATGGGAGAAGGTTGGACAATCTCCCCTCATGGGATCCACAGACTCTAAGAACCCACTGTAGGGTGAGCTGAGTCAGTTCTAGCCCAAGGGCACAATGATAACACTGTGCCTTAAAGTTTTCCACCTATAGCCTGAGGTGAGTGCAGCTCCCACCTGTTAGGCTAGTCAGCTGTAGGGCAGGGCTTCAAGGTGGGGTCTCACAGGCTGGCCAAGCTGCTATCAGTTGTGTGCTGACAGTGGGTTTGGCTTGGGCTTTTGCAGCACCTTGGTAGAAACTGCCTGTGAATCAGAGTTTGGGGACAATCCTAGGGCAGCTTTTGTACTGGAGGCTACTTTATATTTCATGCAAATCCTCACCCCACTGGCCTCTGAGTGAAAAGTTCCAAATGGCTTTCTTGAAGGCCTGTGCCTGGTCGGCAGGTGGCCTCTCCTTCTGGCTCAAGATGGCCACGGCCTGCTCACTGTGGGGGAAGGGTGGTGCTAGGGGGTAACTGTCCATGTCCGAGGACTGTGAGTTTAAAGGATGGTGTGGTGGTCCCAGATGACGTCCACAGGTGTGGCTTTGCCTAGGGGACTGCTCTCTCTAGTGTATACAAATCCTCACCTCCTACGCATGCACTGGCTTCAGGTAACCAAGTTTAAAATGGTTTTATTAAGGCCAAGCCTGAATCACAAAAGGCTCTCCTCACGGGATCAAGAAGGCCTGCTTGCTGTGAGGGAAGGGTGAGGCTCTAAATCCTAACAGAAGTAGATCACCCATTGTTCTCCTGCAGAGTGACTGGTGGATACAGAGCCCTGACTTTGTAATATAGCATGCAATGAACTATGCCAATAGGGCCACGACAAGTCAAGTATTCTCTAGGTGCTGCTTTAGTCTTAAAAGTAGCCCAGGTGGTGCAGTGTGTTAAGTACTGGGACACTAACTGAAAGGTCTGAAAGTTCCAGTTCACCAGCTGCTTGGCAGGAGCAAGATGACATAGGCTGTCTGTTTACAGGCTTTGGGGCATGATGGAAGGCTGTCATGAGTCTGTCAATGGCATGGGACTTTCGGTGTGACAAGCCTGGCTATCAGAAGCAATTAACATTGTAATTATGTCTGATGTGCAAGTTATTTACACTTTCATAAAAATTAAACTTCAGCTAAATCAAGTGTAATAGACTAGAATTTTCGAATTCAAACTTCTAGTAACCAAAGAGATCAAAGACTAAGACTTATTACCCATCTGTCATATGATCTGAGTAATATTCTACTCACTCTTGTTCCTAATATTCTAGAACTTTTCCTATCATTGTCCCACACACTTTAGGATTTCTCTTTCTTGAGTAGGAAGACATTCTGGTGGCCTAGTGGTAAGGAGCTGTGCTGTGAACCCAAAGACAGCACCTTTTTGGTGGTTTGAATCCACCAACAGCTCTGTATTAGGACTGCAGAGCCTTTTTCCTTCCTCTCCCAGAATGGCTACTGAAAGAATCCAATCACAGGAAACAACAGCTGTGCTTTTTCTCTCTATCAAGGATGTGAAACTACCCTACTCCCCCTTTCCCAGGAATAGTTATCAGAGACCCCAGCCCACTTCCCCATCTTGAAGGAAACATCTGTAAGCATCCCCTTCCCCAACTTTTAGTGGAGGCTGGTCTTCTGCTTGACAGCCAGCCCGGCAGTTTCTCCTCAATAAACTGTCTATCTTAGCCTGAACTGGGTTCTGTCCTTCCTCGGCGACCTTATACTCTGCAAGAGAAAGATGGGCAATCTCCACCCATGTGACTTTCAGTCTCTGAAAATCCACTGAAGAGTGAGCTATATCACTCTATTGAGTTTATCTCAAGTATAAGCACACATACTTGTTAGGTACATAGAGCCAGGGGGCTGGTTCAGACTGATGTACCTAATAAGGAAGTGAGAAATGTGATTAAACAAAAAAGACTAACTGAAAGGGAAAGGGGGTGATCAGCACAATACAGCTCAGGAAAAAGATACAGGTACACAAGAAATACAGACAATAAAGGAAAATATTACATTATTGACATACATTTTGGTATGATCAGTGACTAACAGATACTCATTTCCAAGCGGATACACAGGCTGACAGAGGCAAGATGAACATGTAGGGAGAGGAGCAGGATAATCCTCATGACCACACAGGCTTGCTAGACATGCCTATCTGTCAGCATTGTTAAGGAGGTGTGTAAAGTAGAGCACACAGGAACAGAATGACGAGAACTTCTTAGCCACAATCACATACCTCAGGGCCACAGCCACTGGAAACATGAGGCCAGACAGTGCACAAAGCCAGTGTCCTACACCTACTCTGGTAAGTCGTGACTGGTGTTTTAAAACTTGTGAGCTGACATTCACAGTGCAACTAATGGTTTCTATGAGCCTGGTACAAAGAAGAATAAAGAAAGTAAAAGACTATTTAGTCCAAATGGCCACTTGAACTTCAGTCTCCAAGACCTTGAGATCAAAAGAACTACATGATGCCTGCAACCACTGCTGACTGCTCTGAAAGGGATCTGGCAAATGGCACAAAAATGCGGAGCAAAATGAAAAATCTTAAAAGACCTGGCCGACTGGTCTGATAGTGATTTGTGAAAATCAAGCCCTTAGTCACCTTTTAAGCCTGAAAATGAAATCACCTCAAGCCTCTAAGGAGGAACATGCTTCTGAGAATAATGATTTATACAAGATCAAATGAGTACATTTGTCCAGGGATAACACTCAGAAGGCAGCAAGAGAGAGGCAAGAAGGACCAATGGAAACATTAGGACAGAAACTGGAAGACAGAAACACAGGACAGAAATGGGAAGCAGGGTTACAATGTGAGGACTGTAATTGATGTGATGAAATGAATGTGCATGAACCATCAAATAGAAAGCAAATTTGCCTGGTAAATGTTAACTCAAAGCACAATAAAGAGTTCAAGTTGGGATTTCCATTTGGCAGATAAAAGATAGAATCAGGTGTCAATGTTGCTCTTATGTAGTTATTGTATTCTGTGGCTAAATTACTAAAAACAAAAAGCAGCTGGAGAAAATCCAAAAGAAGCAATCTCTTCTCCAGGAGTGGAAAGATTTGGTATTGGGTATTAACAGATTCACAGAAAGGAAGCTAGTTACCAGAAACCAGCACAAGCATATCTGTTAACCCTAGTCTTACATGGAATCCCGGTGTGCCCACATGTAATGTTCTTCTAGAACTCAGATTCCGCATATGTATAGTTATTTAATAATGCCTATTAAATGCACTTTGCTACACTGACATCATGTCAACATATGAAATAATAATGTTTCTTAGTTAATTTGACAAACTGAAAGATAAATATCACTGATTTTTAACAGAGAATAGTAGACACCATATAAATGAAGACATTTTAACTTAAAACACCAAAAAACAAACAACAAAACACAAACCCAACATAATCAAAGAACTCTCCTTTATTTAAAAAAAAAAAAGAGAAGACAATAAAAATGAACTCTAGTGTTATCAACTTCTAGCATGAGGCTCCTTTCTCTAAGAATAGCCATCAATATTGTTTAATAATATGAAACACAGTTTGGGCCATTTAAAAGCAGCTTACAATGTAGCAGAAAAAAGTGGCATGTAAATGTTGGTACAAAAACTCAACCGTAGAGTTATTATTTACTAAAAGAAACATCAAACATGAAAACACAGAGAAGAAGCACACTTTGGAAAAGGTAGACTTTTAATAACTGCTTTATCACCAGGTTAAGTCATGCAGTTACAAAGTAGTTAGAAATTTCTGAAAGGGTATTATTGTTTAAAATAAAAAATGGAAAATGTATTCATTCATTACATAAATAACATCTAGTAATTCACTGGGACACTAGTTTTCAAAAGGCCCTGGCCACGCAAGTCCCAACCAAGCACTGACGTGGAGGTTTCAGACTATGTTAATTAAGCCTGGGGGCAGCATGTGAGGCGTCTTACAAGTTGTGATCATTGGCATTCTCAGAGCTACCAGCAAGACTCCAAACAAGGCAACAGAGTACTGATTTTTCTGGGATACTTTACTTGAATTATTGTTCAATTAGTCAACATGATAGACTGTTAAAAAAAAAGAAAAAGTAACATGATAAGGAGGTTATGGCATTCTTTGGACTATGTGTCATAATTACACTTAGCAAATTCAGACAGTTTTAACAAAAATAGCCTCCATCATCTTACAGTAATGAAGAGAATGTACTTCTCCATCTGACTTTTTTTTACTAGACAATACATAACTGATAAGCTATAAATGAAATAGTTTTATGTTATAAAAATACTAGCTTTTCCATTTATGTTTATAGGCATTCTCTGCTTGAGTCAAGGTTAAGATTGTTAAATGATTTGAGGCAATTTTATTAGAGCATATGTACTTATTTTATTCTATAGAATAAAACACATAATATGAAACTGCTTTTTTGTTTGCAAAATTGAGTTATATTGCTGATAGGAAATAGCAAGAACTCATTTTAGGACCATGCCATCTTCCAAAAATGCCACATGCCCACTTCTTGTCAAAGTTAAACATATTCCACGCTCATCCAGAGTAAAAGAATGCAAGCTGCTAGGTGCTCCTGGACAGCAGGTACTCCCCCTAACCAACAGTTACTAACATACTGGGATGCAGTCACAGAGCAAGGAAGCAAGGCCAGATGGGATGGACTTTAAATTCAAAGGCAAAATACCAGAAATGATGCTCAGACACGGGCTATTTCTACTTTCATATACGAGAACTTGCACATGATCACCCAAACTTGACTTCTTTTTACAGGGCTAATTTGGACTGACTTGTTGAGAATGGTGTTTATTAGCTAGTAAGTCATGAGAGAAAAGAGATTCCTGCGGTTACATGTAAACTGTGATAAGTCTGCGGAAAGTTACAGGTGAGGAGGAGAGTGGAGAAGCCAGTTACGATGCATTTATGTGAAGGTCACACCAGCTTCGTTGTACACCTTGAAGACTTTCTCAATGGCATTGACATAGGCAGCAGTTCTCAGGTCCAACCCCAGGTTATACTTCATGGCTGTGCGCATGATTTGCTGCAATGAAGGAGAAGATGAAGTGAAAGCCTGCCAAGTCCAGCAGTGGGCAGGATGCGCACAGGCACCTGTGGGCCCAGGACTGGTTCACCCTATCCCCATTCCCACAGAGGCCAGTGCAGCCATACAGAACACAAGTTCTAACCAGATGTGCTCATCCTCTGGAATTAACACCGGTTCCTATACTTTTACTTGTGATGGCTAAAACATGGCATTTTAGAATTTTAAGTGTGAGCTATATCTATGTCCTTCAGTTACTGTTGTCTGGAACAGGTTCACTTAGGATATTATATGATTTAAAATAAACAACTTAAAAATTCAAGTGAACAGAGTCTGAATACCTTAAGAAATTAGGAAAACAAATCTCAAACTCTGTTTAAGACCTTGAAATAGAGGTTGCATGGTCAAAAAACTTTATATCTGTCCAACTGCAAGGTAGAGTAGCTTTCTACAGCTGCCATACGGTGATAAACTGCACTCCACGAAGTCTGCCTAACCTGCTAACTGTCCAGTATCACTCTCTCCCTTCTAACATGGTATTACTACGTAAGTCCGAAGGCTTAGCACAAGCGCGTGAAGACCCTGAAGAAGAAATGTTTGTAATTTAATGCTAAAGTAAGTATTTTCTGCTCTGAAAATAACAAATATTTAAACAGATTGCTCTTCTCCATCACCTGACAGCTGAGATAACACGCTTGAGTCGCACATCACTTAACCAGCAGAAAGTGAACAGTGCGTGCATACGTACCCTGGCAGAACGCTCCATGGTGTAAGCTAATCCAGAGTGCACAATGTCTTTCTCAGATGCACCCTGTTAGGAAAAAGAACAAGAGTTGAACAAAATCACACACAGACATGCTTCACCTATAAGCGTAAGAAGGACTCTTAAGTCAATATATAGCTAGACAAAATTCTCTTGTCTTTTAGCAAAGAGCTATTTAATTTGTCAGTCAGGAAGCACTCACTTTAGCTCCTCAGGTGACAAGACACAGAAAGGAACTTGGCTCATTCCAGTGGCAGTTCTAGGGTAGAATCTTGCTTCTAAATTCAGTACTGTTGTTGTTGTGTGCCACTAAGTTGGGACTGACCCCCAGCTGACTCTCCAGTGGGTTTTCAGAAGGAGTAAACTGCACAGGAGAAGCCTGGTCTGCCTTCTTCTACAGAGCAACTGATGTGGATTTGAACCTTGTGCCTCTGGGATTTCAGCACAACTCCTCACTACTAGGCCAGTAGAGCTCCCTATTCAGTACAACCACCAAGTTTTATCTCTGGTGAGTTAGTTTGTTTACAAAGATTCTGCTACCTAATTTCTTGGAATGCTTCGTAAAATTTAAAGACAATTAACTCTCACTGTTACCCTTACTTTTCAAATTGAATTTGTATGCTGGGCAAATCATTCAAGAAGCTGGACTTTATGTACAGGAATGTGACATCAGGATTGGAAGAAGATTCATCAACAACCTGTGTTATACTGATGACACAAACTTGCTTGCTAAAAAAACCTGAGGACATGAAATGCTTGCTACAGAAGATAAAAAAGCTAATAAAAGTAATATTGATTACATCCCAATGGCAAAAAGAAGAAAATCCTCATCGCTGGGCCAACAGGCAACGTTATGAAAGATGAAGACTGAAGTTGTCAAAGATCTTATCTTACTTGGATTCACAATCAACACCCTTGGGACCAGTAGTCAAGAAATAAAAACACAGGCTACACTGGAAAACTGTGCCATCAAGGATCTCTGCAAAGTGCTAAAGAGCACTGATGTCAGCTTAAAGACTAAAGTGTGCCTAATTCAGGACATGGTCTTTCCATTGCTTCCTATGAATCTGAGAGCTAGATAATAAGAATGACAGAAGAGGAACTGATGCCTTTGAGTTGTAGTGTTGGTGAAGAGTACAGAATATGCCATAGGCGATAAAAAGAACAAACAGATATGACTGGGAGAAAGTGGTCAGAGTGGCCCTAGGAGGCAAGGATAGGAAGCTTTGTCTTATATAGCTTACATACATATGTTGTCAGGGAGGCACTTTTTCTTGGAAAGGTGCATCATGCTAGGAGAGAAAGACCAGATGGACTGACAGAATGGGCTATAGTATGTCAAAGTTGATAAGGATGGCATAGATAGGACAGGGTTTAGTTCTGTTGTTCACAGGGTCACTATGAGTCATATTCAACTCATTGACACTCAACAAGAACAATAAACTGATATGTTGTTATGTGCCATTTAGTCGCTTGTGACTCAAAGCGACTCTATGTATACAGCTCTGAACCCTGTTCTATCCTGAGCCAATCTCACTATCTCTGAAACACCTGTTCCTATTACCTGTCACTGTGTCAATCTATTTATTCCTATTTCTCCCATCACTCTGTTAACCTCTTCCAGGGTCTTCCTCTTCTGTGCTGTTCCACCACCCTTCCAAGCACGATGTCCTTCTCCATGGATGGTCCCTCCCAGACACATGTTCAAAGTATGGGAGACGGAGCTTCAAACTCTTTTCTTCCAGAGAGCAACTTGGTTTCACCCTTTCCAGGACAGGGCTGTTTGTTCTCTTGGTGGTCCATAGTATATTCAATACTTTTCTCTAGCACCACAACTCAACGGCATCTATTCTTCTGTCATCCTTATTCATTCTCCAGTTCTCTTATGCACAGCCAGTAATTGTGAAGATAATGGCTTTGATCAGACACACATTAGTCTCCAGACTGACATCTTAGTTCTTAAGTACCCTGGAGATGCCCCAACAGTAGACTTTCCTAATCTAATTAGTCTTTTGGTTTCCTGGCTGCTGGTTCCAAGAGTGTTGATTGTGGGCCTGAGCTGAAATTGTTAACAATCTCATTCTCTTCTCCATCTATCGTGATGCTGCCAACTGGCTCAGTGGTGAGAAACTTTGTTTTCTTGATGTTGGGCTTCAATCCATATTGAAGGTTTCAATTCTTGTCCTGCAGCAGACTATTTAGGTCCTTCTCAGTTTCAGCAAGCAAAGTTGTGTCATCTGCATTAACACACATTGTTGATGAGTCCTTCTCCAATCATGATGCCACATTCCTCCTAATAAATACCTGCCTCCTGAATTATCTGTTCCACATACAGATTGGAGAGGTATGGAGACAGAATGTATCCCTGACACACTCCTTTCCTGATTCTGAACAATGCAGTGTTTCCTTGCTCTGTTCTGATGACTGCCTTCTGGTCCAAGAATAGGTTTTGCATGAGCACAATCAGGTGTTCTGGGATTCTCATTATTCTTAAGGTTAGCCACAATTTGTTGTGATCCACACAGTCAAATGCCTTTGTGTAGTTAATGCAACACAAATAGACATAAACACCAGATAAAAGCCTGATGCAAATTATCAACAAGTCAGAGTTGCACTTTCAATAATGGGGGATATACCATGAACATTATCCATTTTATTTGGTGATAATTAAGAAAGAGTATTGAGCTCCGTCTAACTTACTTTGGACATGTTGTGAGGAGAGACCGGTCCTTGGAGAGGGACATCATGCTTGGGAGGGTGGAGGGACAGCGCAGGAGACCCTCTATGAGGTGGATTGATTCAGTGACTGGGATAATTGGGATGGGAGTGTCAGAGACAGTGCGATTGGCACAGGACAGAGTTGGGTTTAGGGCTGTTGTACATAGGGTCGCTATGAGTCGCAGGCGACTTGACGGCACATAACAACAACAACAACAACAATTTTTTTTCCCATTTGTGTTAATCAAGAAACATTTGGGTTAAGCTTTGTGTTTCTATTAACCTAAAAAAAGGAAACAAGCTATTTATAGGTATGATGTTCATATGTTAATTTAATTAACAAACATTAAATGAGTACCTATTATGTGCTAGGCACCGTTCTATGGCCCTGGGGACACAGCAGGGAACAAAATAATAAAAATTCTATTCTCATAGCAAATTTAATTCTAATGGAAAAAAAGACAGAACTTAAAACCACAAGGCTAGCTTGTGTGTGAAATTCACTAAGAGCTGAATCTAATTATAAGCTGAGGGACTGAGGATCTCCAATATTAAGTGAAGAGGTACCCACAAAATGCAATGAGAAAGAATGAATAGCTAGTGAAGGGGAAAGCAAACGAGAAGAAAGTGCTGTCTTAAAAGAGACTGTTCCAAGACATGGTGTAGGCAACTGTGACAAAGCTGCTTAAAGATGAGGACTGAGAAAGGACCCCTGGATTTGGCAAGTGCCATCAATGGCTTAGATGGCAACAGTTCTGGTGGAGTAGTGGGAAGAGCAGGTACAGTGGTACAGACAGACAAGTAGAGAAAAACTGGAAACCATTTTTTCTCAAGTAGAAGAGGAAGTAGTAGGAAGATTTTAGTATTTTTTAACAGTAATTATAATAATCAGAAACTCTACACTTAGTCAATGTGATTTGTCCATCACTGTTTGCCCTCTTTCCTCCTTCCCTCCCTCCCCAGATAACCACTAATAAACTTTGGCCTCTGTGTGCATCTGCATTTTATTTTATATAAGTGAGGTCATTAACATTTTCCCTTTATGATTGGTTTATTTCACTCAGAATAATGTCTTCAAATTCCATCCATCCTGTAGGATATATCAAGACTTCATTTCTCTTAGTGGTAGGGCTAACAGTCCGTACGTACTACATTTCGCTCATCTACTGATGAGATGTTTCCACTACCATCTGGCTACTGTGAAGAGCGCAGCAATGAACATTCATGTATGTGGTGGTATGATCAACCCTGACTGTCACCAAAAGAGGAGTGGGAACTTGAAACAGGAGTGTATAATCATTATGAGATTGTTCAGCTTTCCCTATTCCACTACGCTTAAACCTACAAAACGTAGTTGCAAAGGCAGCAATTTCAATATGAAAAAAATATCCCCTGAAGTCATCTTAATACCAAACAATAGTTAGCTCACCTAGGGAAAAGCTCTGCCTTGAGTGTTATTATGCTGTATAAAGCTACCTGTAAGGGAGCAAATGACAACTTGAAAGATTAGACAGACCCTGCAGGGGTGGTGGATTTAGGTTAATATGGAAGAACTTGAGAAAGGAGGATGAGAATGGTGTCATCAATGGCTCTCAACTGAACACGCGGAAACTATACAATTAGTGTATGTTTTGCTTATGTGTATTTTCTGTAACCATAAGAAATTAAGTCTAGAGAAAAAGATGCACTTTTTAAAAAATTTATTTATTTTTCATTTCAATGAACATCTATAGAGATTTTGGAATTCCATTCATTCATTGTTGCACTTTAAGATGCACTTTTCAATAAAATAGCATTTTATAGTTGTTTTTATGTGCCACCAAATCTCCTGCGACTCATAGCGACCCTATGTAATAGCCCTAAACCCTGCTTTCTCCTGTGCCAATCTCATTGTCTCTGACACACCTACACCCATTACCCCACTCACGGAATCAATCCTCCTCCTTTGTGCTTCCATACATGAGGGCTCCTCCTCCTGTTTCCATATTTGAAGGCTCTACCTTAGTTGCCCTACCTGCTAGTCTAAGTGTATTCTATTATTCATAGGGTTTTCTAAGGCCTGCTATTTCTGAAGTAGATGGCCAATCAAAGGAATAAAACAGCAGAAGGAAAAGTGATAACACAACTAAGACAGGTCAAAGTTTCCTTGTTACAGTACTTTGGAAAAGTTGAAAACAGGCTGTACAAAGTGTGCACAGATGGCCAGGGCTTCATGGGAGCACAGAGCTGATCTGTAAGGGGAGAGGTGACACAGAGCCAGCTACAGGCACTAGGAGCTGAGCCATTTTACTCTTTCATTTCATCTGTGGACACAGATAACAGGTTCTTGGTGGGACTGAAAGGACAAGAGAGGGAATATAGGACATAATCATCACAAAGAGTGAGAATAAATGGAATATGCAAAGCAGTGTAACTGCCAGGCTACACTATGAGCCACCTTAAGGTTAGAGGTAACTGGTTTAAGTTAGAATACTCAGCAAAGTCGCTAGTCCTAGGGCCTCATGGTAGAGACTAGAGAGTTGGGTTCAGGGTCTAATCGTCTTACATTCTTTGAGTACCTTGCTAGGAGAAGCTCTTCTTTGAAGAGAGATCACACACTTAGAAAGGTGGTGGTCCAGCAAAAGGGAGGAAGATGGATTGTCACAGTTAACTGCAGCAATGGTCTTGAATGTGTCAGAATTGTGAGGACGACACAGGATATAGGACAGGATTTAGATGTGGAATTAATAGGGTTACTGTGGTTCGCACTCAGCTCGATGACTCCTAACAACAACCACCTAAGGGGCTTTCAAGGGGAAACGATGACGCAGAAGCCAGAAAGTAAATGCAGTGATGGATCATGAAATCTGAATTAGATAAGAATTTTCATTAGGTAGGGCTCTGTAGTCAACAGTCTTGGCACCAGCAGCCAGGAAATTAAAAGGCGCATTGCCATGGGAAAGTCTGCTGTTAGGGACCTCTCCAAAGTACTGAAGAGCAATGGTGTCTCTCTGGAGACTAAGGTGCGTCTGATACAGGCCATGGTCTTCGCAATCACTTGTTATGCATCAGAGAGTTGGACAATGACCAAGGAGGATAGAAGGAGAATTGATGCCTTTGAGCTGTGGTGCTGGAGAAGAGTATTGAGAATACCATGGACTGCTAGGAAAACAAACAGATTTGTCCTGGAAGGGGTTAAACCGGGTGGCTCCTTGGAGGCAAGGATTCTGAGGCTCCATCTAACATACTTTGGACATGTTGTGAGGAGAGACCAGTCCTTGGAGAGGGACATCATGCTTGGGAGGGTGGAGGGACAGCGCAGGAGAGGAAGGCCCTCTATGAGGTGGACTGATTCAGTGACTGGGATAATTGGGATGGGAGTGTCAGAGATGGTGTGATTGGCACAGGACAGAGCGGAGTTTAGGGCTGTTGTACATAGGGTCGCTATGAGTCGCAAGTGACTCGACAGCACATAACAACAACAGGGATGGAGAAATGGTGGTAGTCACTGGATACAGGACCCAGTACAGCCAAAGCATGGCTGGAGCTGATGGTAGAAGAAAAATGGGTTTCAACAACAATTTAACAAGCATCTCTATCAGCGGTAAGAAAATAAAAACCAACACACTAAAAGTATTTGAAAATTGAGAGACCAGTGAGTGAGTATAGATTATTTTAATAAGATAGCTCTGCCTTTGTAACTCACTCACTCTTGCTATATTCTTCTGTTCTTCTTCTAAAGGCTTAGGTTTGAGCAACTGTGACATGACAGGCATGCACTAGGAAGTGAGCAGGCCAAAAGACACAAAGAGCCATTGGAGCAGAAGGGAACTACCACATATTAGACATTATTTGTATGCAGCATACATAATTCCAGCTCAACAGATGGAAGAGGAATCAATCCTGACACTCATAGCCGACTTTCAGAGAAAGCCACAGAAGTGAGGTGATAGTTAAGGTCATGGGGTCAGAGCACCTAGGGAAGCACCACAACCAATAAGGATCTTTGCAAGAGGAAGTTTTGAGTGGTGAAAACATCTTTTCTCCTTCAAGATAAACATCTTATTTTTCTCCATGCTGCAGTATTATGATATGGTCTTACTTTCCATGACTGAATATTTTATGAGATTTATCACAATGCAGCCATTTCCTTGCCACTAGATAGTTAAATCTAATTTAAAAATAACAGCAAATACACTTTCAGTGAACATCCTGACACATAGTTAATCTTCTCCTCTTGAGTTATGCTCTTAGGATACATTTCCAGAGAGAAGACTGTTAGCGTGCCAAAAGAAAGAAACACTTGTCCATTCATTGTTTTTCTTGTTTTAGTAAATAAAAAAATACCTCATTTTAACTTTACTTGTTTTAATAACGTAAAACAATTTTTCCAAGCTTATTTCTAGGGGTAGTTTTTTACATCTTTTATCATTTCCTAGTAAGAAAGATCTCTTTGTGATGTGTTTGCACTGGCAACATAGTCTATCTACAGTCACTAAACAGAAATTCTTCTACTGTTTCCTTTAACTTTTTTCCTGAAGCTTAATGGAGTTGAAATATGTTATGTTAGTTCACTTGAGTCATCTGTGCTTTGAAAAGAACCAAAAGCAGCAGAAACATTAATGATTTATTTTGAATCTGCTATTAGTCACTAGGATTCTTATTCCATTTTTAGAACATAATAAAAGGGCTAGGTATGAAGCACTTTAAAATCCTACAACTATTTTGACTACCATCCTTCATCTCAAACAATAAGGACAGAGAGGGGCCCATGTGTAAAACAGAAGTCTTGACCACACTCACCGATATTCTGTCTTGGAACTCTGCTGTGGGCACAACGGGAATAGTTCCACCATGTTTTCCAAATTTTCTTTCTAAACTCTCTTGAACAGACACTGTAGAAGCCAAAAAAGCAAGGCATGATATTGTTATGGGGGAAAAAAAAAAATCTATAATCTAAAATAGTTTTAAACTACATATATAATCCCAAAAGGAATAATTTTAGACGCTTTTAACAATATATAAAAGCATCACTCATTTAAAACTCAAGTTAAAAAGAAATAAAACAGTTGGCCAAATTCCTATGTACATGTGAATTTAGGTCATTGCTCTGTTTCCATAACACCCATTACCAGGGTTTTTCCTTGGCTCTATTAAAAAGAAAATGCTGAGGGAAAAGAAATTGAATTAGAATATGCTGCCAAATTCTCAAAGTGAGTTAAGTAAAAGGAAACTGAAGAGGTTTTATTTCAATCTGATGAGAAATTCTACTGCTTGAAACTTGCTTAAATCAAGACAAACAAGTATTCTTATCAGAAACCTTAAAAATCCTTTACACTACCATAGAACTTTACTGTGTATAATTAGGGAAACAAATAGATGAACATAAACAGGGGAAGTCACGGTTTTCAAATGACGGTTTAGAATAATGGTAGTAATTGAGATTCTATTGAGACTATTATTCCAGAATAAATATTTTCATAAAATCACATGGGAGCTAAGATACTGAATATACATGAAGAATATATACATACATACATACATACATATATATATATATATATATATATAATTTTCGGTTGTGAGAGTGAATTCTCTAAGATTAAAGAGGCATTTGTTCTTTTGCTTTTCCAAGCTGTATAATTTTCCTTAAATAATTCTTTTTGGAGAACAGGACTGAGGAGTGTTCATTCTCTGAAATGAAACACTCTGGGGTTATATATGGGAAATTTGTCCTTTAACAAGTATACTTTCTCAGACTACAAAGAATTGCTTTGAGAAGTCATCATCAGCACTCACTGAGCAGGTGGTAGTTAGAGTCCCTTTCATATTTGAAGGTCAGACGGCCATAGCTGACATGGTTGAGATTCTTCAACCATTCAAAGTAAGAGACTGTCACTCCTCCCGCATTCAAGTACAGATCCTAAAAACAAATGTGCGACAGGAAGACACCAAAGAAATTAGAAGACCACGGTCTAATTAAAATGTACAAAATATTTTCCCTTCTCTTTTTTTTTATTATATAATTTTGTTATTCATTTATTGTTGCACATTTTTCCCCTTCCTCAGGTCCACTTTATAATGCACCTCTTGTTACAGATTGTTCAGATGTATAATATCTAGTCATATATTCCTTTTGGATAATTCTTTTCTTCATCTGTTCCAATGCATTGTTCATTTTCTATCCACTCTTTTCTTATTATCCCCTCAACTCCCACGTCAGTCCTACTTTACAACAGCAGTATTATACTGTATTTATCCTTTTGTGACTGAGATATTTCACTCAATATCTTCCAAGTATAGTTACCCATGTTTTGTAATGTTTTACTAATTTTTTTCAGAGCTGTGTAATATTCCACTGTGTCAATGTGCCACAGCTTTTCTACCCATTCATTTGTTGATGGGCACTTGGGTTGCTTCCACCTCTTTGCCATTGCGAATAATGAAACAATAAATATAAGTGTGCATATCTCTGTTTGAGTTGTGCCTCTGGTTTAATTAGGATATATTTCCAGTAGTGGAATGGCTGGATCAAATGATATTTCTATTTCATACTTTTTGAGAAAGCACCAAACTGCCTTCTATAGCTGGGGCACACCATATCTACTAGCAATGAATAAGGGGTCTAATCTCTCCACAAACTCGCCAGCATTTGTTGTTTTCTGGCCTGTTGAACTTTGCTATTGTTACTGGGTTGAGTTGTTTTGATTTTCTTCTCTTTGCGAACTGGGGATTTTGAACATTTCTTCATGTGTTTACCATTTAAATTTCTTATTTGGTGAAGTGTCTATTCATATCTTATGCCCATTTTGTGATTGGGTTGTTTTACCTTTTTCCTGTTGAGCTACTGGATTATCTATAAATATTAGAAGGTATGTCATTGCCAAAATTTTTTTCCTAGTCTGTGAGTTTCCTTTCAAACCTGTTGAAGTTTTTTGATGTGCATAGGGATTTGATTCTTACAAAGTCCCATTCATCTCTTTTATTTTCTCCTAGTTGTAGGATTTTCTCTTAGGTCCCTGATCCACCATGAGTCAGTTCTGTGTACAGTGTGAGGTGTGAGTCTTGTTTACATTTTCTGCTGATAGTTTTCCATTTTTGCCACAAAACACTTTTTAAAAGCTAAACTCCAACAATGGAGCAGAGTAAGTCCAAAATTTCCTAAACATATCTTAGTACCATGTATACTTATTCAATTAAGTCTTTTCTATCCATCTTAGATCTGCTTTTAATTTAAGAGAAAAAAAATAATTGAAGTATCATTCAATGACGACTGACGAATGCCTCCTAGTCCAAGTATAGGTTTCGCATTAGCACGATCAAGTGTTCTGGGAAAACCATTCTTCTCAGAGACAACCACAGTTTGTTATGATCCACACAGTCAAACGCCTTTGCATAATCAATGAAACACAGACAGACATTGTTCTGTACTCCCTGCTTTCAGCCAAGACTCATCTAACATTAGCTACAATATCCCTAGTACCACAACCCTTCTAAACCCAGCCTGGACTTCTGACAGTTTTCTGCTGACGTGCTGTTCCAGTCGTTTTTGGATCATCTTCAGTAGAATCTTGCTTTCATGTGAAATCAATGGTATTGTTCTATAGTTTCCACGCTCTGTTGGGTCACCCTTCTTTGGAATGGGAACAAGTATAGATCTCTTCCAGTCAGTTGGCCAAGTGGTTGTTCTCCAGATTTCTTGGCACAACCTGGCAAGCACGTCCAGGGCCAAGAGGCAGTCATCAGAACAGAGCAAGGAAACGCTGCGTAGTGAAAAACTGGGAAGGGCATACCCCAGGGATGTGTCCTGTCTCCATACCTTTCAACCTGTATGCTGAACAGATTATCTGGGAGGCTGATCTTTATGAGGAGAAATGTGGCGTCAGGATTGGTGGAAGATTCATCATCAATCTGTGTTATGCAGATGACACAACCCTGCTTGCTGAAACTGAGGATGACCTGAAGTGCTTGCTGCAGAGAGTCAAGGACTGCAGCCTCCAATATGGATCGAGGCTCAATGTCTAGAAGACAAAGATTCTCACCACTGGAACAACTGGCAGCATCAGGATGGACGGTGAAGAGATTGAGATTGTTCACAGTTTACTTTGCTTGGCTACACAGTCAACATTCTTGACACCAGCAGCCAGGAAATTAAAAAATGTATTGCGATGGGAAAGTCTGCTGTTAGGGAGTTCTCCAAAGTACTGAAGAGCAATGGTGTCTCTCTGGAGACTAAGGTGTGTCTGATACAGGCCATGGTCTTTGCAATCACTTGTTATTCTTCAGAGAGTTGGAAAATGACTAGGGAGGAGAGAAGGAGAATTGATGTGTTTGAGCTGTGGGGCTGGAGAAGAGTACTAAGTATACTATGGACTGCTAGGAAAACAAATAGTTTCATCCTGGAGAGGGTTAAACCGGATTGCTTCTTGGAGGCAAGGATTCTGCGGCTTCGTCTGACATACTTTGGACATGTAAAGAGGGACCTGTCCTTGGAGAGGGACATCATGCTTGCGGGGGTGGAGGGTCAGTGCAGGAGGGGAAGGTCCTTTATGAGGTGGATTGATTCAGTGACTGGAGTAATTAGGATGGGAGTGTCAGAGACAGTGCGATTGACACAGGACAGAGCAGAGTTTAGGGCTGTTGTACATAGGGTCTCTATGAGATGCAAGCGGCTCGACGGCATGTAACAACAACATCATTCCACGAACATTTCATCAACTTTGGCTAGAGTATCTTTCCTAATAAAAGGTTCTCAGATAAAACTGCTGGTTCAACAACCTCTGGATTGAACCCTCTGTGTGTGATCACACCAGAAGATTAGCAATTTCCTGTCTGCTACAGAAAGGGAGCCCATTTCCGCTAAATGAAATTCCCTAAGTGCTTTCAGAAAAAGAGATTCTTTAAAATGTAGTATCCCCAAATTTACCTTGACATCTTACAGGCTTTTATACTGCTGTTGTCATGTATCACTGAGTTGGAATCAACTCATAACTGACCCTCCTGTAGGATTTCAGAGCCAGAGCATGGGAAGACACTGCTCATCCTTCTTCTATGGAGCATCTTGTGAATTTGACCACTTGCTTTTGGACTGGCAACACAATTCTGTACCACTGAGCCAACAGTACAGACTCTGTGTTCACTCACCAACAAACATGAGCATATGTACTTAATATTAATTCTTTGCATAAAATAGAGATATCTGAAAGATCTCAGGGTGAGAGCCAGGTAGGAAATGCTATCTATTAAGTTAGAATACTATTTCTAGTATAATGTACATTTACATAATTAGATTTATGGAAGGTCAAAAAGAAAATGCTCAGGAAAGCTTAAAGTTGGGAGAAAATATTTAGGTCAAAGTAACTCATACTAACCATGACACTACCACCTTTTCTTAAATCTAAAATAAAGACAAAAAATTCACTATAGCTTCGGCATGTTCCCCTCCCTCCAATTCCTTACAACAATTATCATTACAGTTACATCAATGACTTACTGGAATCACCATGATGTTCCTCTCCAGAAAAATCTTATCAGCTTCTGGAGTTGTCGGTCCGTTGGCACCTTCAGCAATGATCTACAGGAGTCATGAATGTGAGAAAAGTCAACACCACCACGAATCTGATTCTGATACACAGAATCAGAAGGGGTAGAACACAGTAGGAGCTGATCTGCCTGTGAGTCTGTCACACTGTTGTTGGTGGTTTGTGTTGTCTGTGATGCACAAAGTTATGTCACTGTTATTCAAATGCCAGTATGGTCACACAGGGTGTACACATTTTAGTGGATCTTCTAGAAAAGACAGTTTAAGAAGAAAAGCCTGTGATGTACATCCAAAAGCAGTCAGTAAAATCCATAGGGGCCACAAGAGAACAGTATCTCACAAAGTTTGTACAATGTGCCCTCTCGGGTGAAGGGACTCAAAACACATAGGCACTGCAACAATGATCACAAATTTGCAAACCATCCTGATGTGGAAACTGCATCACATTGTATGTCATACACAGGGATGCCCAGAGTTGGAGATTTTTAATAGTTAACGACAATGCCACTATTCACACTGACTAGGCTGTACTGTGTCTATAATGCTATCATTACCTTGGCTTTGACCCTGGGTGCATTGGATTTGGTCAACTGCTTCTCACTGGCCGCTGGGATCAGTATGTCACAATCTGCTTCCAAGATGCTCCCTTCATAGGGTTTTGCCTTGGGGAAACCCAGGATTGATCCATGTTGCTGTAACGGATTGAAAAGGCAAATGGCTACTCCAGAGTTTTAATGCTTATGCTTAAAATATGAAATTAATTTGATAAAAGCTCTGAACTACATTAAAAAAAAAATGAAAAACAAAAAAAACCAAACCAACCCCAAAAATAGAAATAAGACTTGCTTCAGCTTTAAAAGTAACAGTATTCAATGTGTTCAGACACAGGATCAACATACCAATTTGAAGTCTTCCAGTTCTTTTGGGTCAATACCATCTGGATTCCATATGCTCCCGTCAGATTCCCCAACACCAACACATTTAGCACCAAAGCGATGTAAATATCTCATAGAGTGCAGGCCCACATTACCAAACCCCTAAGGAAAACAGTTAGAAAAGATAAAAAAATTCAAGTCTCTGTACAGTTATTAGAGCTCTATTTTGACCAGCATAAAGTCATTTGGTTAGCTTAGTAGCTAACAAAAATTCCTCTTCCAAGTACATGGAGTCTCTTCAACAAAAATTTCTACTTTATGAATGTGAAACCTAGAAAAATACATATCAAAGAAATACTAATAAAAAACGTGCAGGGGTGGCATTATTAATTGTGACAAAATAGCCTTCAAGGCAAAAACTTGTGTAAGACACAGAACATTATATGAAGATTAAAGAGTCCATTGAATAACAGGTCAAGACTGGAAATAGTACCTACGTACCCGTAATAATCACCAAGATACGAGAAACAAACTTTTAATAAATTTGAACAGAGAAAGAGTTAAGTCCATGGTGCTAATAAGAGACTTCAAAAGACAACTTCTGATGAGGAACAGAACAACTGGAAGAAGTGGGAACACAGGAAAACTAAACACTACAATTAACTAGATCCCATTCACATACAAAAACCACTCCAACAAGAGCACAACATCTAGTCTCTTCCACTGCACCTGGAACATTTTCCATGTGGCAAGTTAGAAAATAAGCCTCAGTTAAAAACAACCCCAACAAAACCCCACTAAATAGTACAAAGCATCTTGTCAGACTACAATTCTATAAACTCGGAAATCAAGAGCAGAAATATGAACAGGGTATGTAAATAAAAACTAATACACTTCTTGAATATTACTGAACAATGTTGTTGTTGTTATGTTCCGTCAAGTCGCTTGCGACTCATAGCGACCCTATGTACAACAACCCTAAACTCTGCTCTGTCCTGTGCCAATCGCACTGTTTCTGACACTCCCATCCTGATTATCCCAGTCACTGAATCAATCCACCTCATAGAGGGACTTCCCCTCCTGCGCTGTCCCTCCATCCTCCCAAGCATGATGTTCTTCTCCAAGGACCGGTCTCTCCTCACAACATGTCCAAAGTATGTTAGATGGAGCCTAAGAATCCTTGCCTCCAAGGATCCACCTGGTTTAACCCTTTCCAGCACAAATCTGTTTGTTTTCCTAGCAGTCCATGGTATTCTCAATACTCTTCTCCAGCACCACAGCTCAAAGGCATCAATTCTCCTTCTATCCTCCTTGGTCGTTGTCCAACTCTCTGATGCATAACAGGTGATTGCGAAGACCATGGCCTGTATCAGATGCACCTTAGTCTCCAGGGAGACACCATTGCTCTTCAGTACTTTGGAGAGGTCCCTAACAGCAGACTTTCCCATGGCAATGCGCCTTTTAATTTCCTGGCTATTGGTGCCAAGAGTGTTGACTGTGGACCCAAGCAAACTAAAGCTGTGTACAATCTCAACGTCTTCACCATCCATCCCGATGCTGCCAATTGGTCCAGTGGTGAGAATCTTTGTCTTCTTGACATTGAGCCTCAATCCATATTGTAGGCTGCAGTCCTTGACCCTCTGCAGCAGGTGCTTCAGGTCCTGTTCAGTTTCAGCAAGCACGGTTGTGTCATCCGCATAACGCAGATTGTTGATAAATCGTCCCCCAATCTTGACCCTACACTTCTCCTCATAGGGCCCAGCCTCCCGGATAATCTGTTCTGCATATAGGTTGAAAATGTATGGAGAAAGGATGCATCGCTGGCGTACGCCCTTCCCAATTTTGAACCATGCAGTATTCCCTTGCTCTGTTCTGATGACTGCCTCCTGGTCCAAGTAAAGGTTTTGCATTAGCACGATCCAGTGTTCTGGGATTCCCATTCTTCTCAGAGTCAGCCACAGTTTGTTATGATCCATACATTCAAATGCCTTTGCATAGTCAATGAAACACAGATAGACATTCCTCTGGTATTCTCTGCTTTCAGCTAAGATACATCTAACATCAGCTACAATATCTCTAGTACCACAACCCCTTCTAAACCCAGCCTGGACTTCTGGTAGTTCTCTGTTGATGTGCTGTTCCAGTCGTTTTTGGATAATCTTCAGTAAAATCTTGCTTGCTGTCAGAGGCCTGACTTACTTGCAAAGCAAGATTAGCCCTGTACTGTGAAACCAGCAAGACTAACTCCATCTTGGCTAGAAAATCTGCTTGGCAATATACAACTCAAGGAAGCAGGATGTTAATGAATAAGAGTGACCAAAGGTCTCAGACCTTAGGGAATGTTATCTACCGAAACTCTTTGTTTCTTAGAGCATAAGACATGCTGTAAAACATCTTTGTATTGTACTGAGGTCTATGAGAGTTAATGTTTGACCTGAGAGTCAACATCTCAGAGAGAAAGAGATAATGCAATGGCTACTGCAGAGGTGCTTCTAAAAACCTATATATGCTTTTGAAAAATAAAATTTTTTACTATTCGTCATCAATGGGTAGTCTCTCTGAGTCTTCATTCAATTCTCGTCCCTCCTCTCGCGGAACCGTTTAGAACTATTGATGCTGGACCCCGATATTTGTCACCCGAAAAACAGGTACCCGAGCACGGAGGAAAAGGCACGAAGGAATTCTGTGAACGTATAAGGTAGGAACTTACTGAAACTGCCTTCGGTCAAGGTTAAGATCGGAAAAGAAGTCTCAGGGATGGGGCATAAAAGAGGTAAAACATGGCATGCGCATACTTTACAGAATATGTTGAAAACCCGCGGTGTAAAATTAAATCCTCAATAACTCTATACTTTCAGCTTGTGGAGATTAGGTCGAGATACCTTAGACTCTAGGAATGAGTTAGATAAGTTGAAAGTAATCATGTACTAGAAACTGAATCAGGGAAGGAGAGAAAGGATGAGATTCCCCCAATATATATCCCCCCCTAGAGATAGGCATGGGAGGTGAGGAGTTACAGAACTAGATCAAGCTGATCTTGAGAAGGGAACTGCTCAAAATTGGACTGTACCCTCAAACTCTGAAGTGTTTTTAGCTCCAAAGCTGAGGATATGTTAGGGAAAGTCTTAGAACAATTGGATAAGTTCGAAATGCACCTCCTCCTTTTAATACAAATTACAAAAAGTTAGAATATCAGCAGTCATCTAAATTTTTAGATTTTGCTAAGAAAGGCTGTGTCTGGTTCCCTAAGAATGGAACTGTATTGCTGGCGCTGCCTCTTTCTCTCTCCCTCCCCTTGCCCGGCACTGTGTGTGTGTAGCTTCTAACCAAATCTCTTGCAGCGTCAAGAAGAGAGTCCCAGGGGAGCTCTGGTGGCCTAGTGGCAAGAAGCTGCAACTACAATCCCAGAGGTGCACGGTTCAAATCTATCAGATGCTCTGCCGGGGAAGGAGGGACAATCTCCTCCTGTACCAGTCAAATCTGATTTGACAGTACAAGCACACAAAAAAATAATAAAATTTAAAAAAAAAAGAAAAGAGTCCCGAGCAAAACTAAGTGCCAGATTCAAAGGTAGTGCTACGGCTGATTAATTACTCAAACCTTATACCTTATTCTCCCCAGGAAAAGTGTATGAATTAGGAACTGATGTCTTTTGGTTAAGGAACTATGGGAATAATTTTTTAATGTAATAGCCAGGAAATCAAAAAACGTATTGCGATGGGAAAGTCTGCGGTTAGGGACCTCGCTAAAGTACTCAAGAGCAACGGTGTCTCTCTGGAGACTAAGGTGCGCCTGATACAGGCCATGGTTTTTGCAATCACTTGTTATGCATCAGAGAGTTCCAACTCAATGACTAGGGAGGAAAGAAGGAGAATTGACGCCTTTGAGCTGTGGTGCTGGAGAAGAGTATTGAATGTACCATGGACTGCCAAGAAAACAAACAGCTTCATCCTAGAGAGGGTTAAACCAGGCTGCTCCTTGGAGGCAAGGATTCTGGGGCTTCGTCTGACATACTTTGGACATGTTGTAAGGAGAGACAGGTCTTTAGAGAGGGACATCATGCTGGGCAGAGTGGAGGGACAGCGCAGGAGGGGAAGACCCTCTATGAGGTGGATTGATTCAGTGACTGGGGTAATCGGGATGGGTGTGTCAGAGGCAATGAGATTGGCACAGGATAGAGCAGGGTTTAGGGCTGTTGTACATAGGGTCGCTATGAGTCGCAAACAACTCGACGGCACATAACAACAACAACAACAACAATAGTCTTAGTAGTCAAAGTTTCCAGATTCATATTAGAAGTATAAGCCTAAAGTTTATTAATTAAGTTATTGTTCCTTTACCTACAAACTGGTTAAATAATTGCTTGACTTTTGCTTCCTCCTTATCATGCATTTCCTACTATTAATAGATCAAAAATAAAAGGATTTGGAAGTACTGAAAAATATTTGTTTTTAAAAACCATCATTAATGATCAAAAGTCCTCTCTTACTTTTTCTGTTAATCAAATTTCTTTTACAGGTCTTGTGGATATAGAAGCTAATGTGTCTGTTATTAGGAAAAAATAATTAGCCTCTTAATTGGCCTTTGTAAAAAATTAACATTAACTCTTTCTAAATTAGAAATCTCTCCCAATGTTGAGGTCTAAGAATATTTATGACTGTGCAGAACCTGATGAACAAAAGGCTCAAATGCAATTTTATGTGCTATACATTAGTGCTAATTTATGGGAAAGAAATTTATTAAAACAATTTGGAGCTTTTATATCTATCCCTGCTTTGTCAAATGCTGAATTCTAACGTCTTACATTTTTAGCAGAAAAGCTAATATATAGAACCAGCCATTCCCTTTGAAATTCTCCTTTGTTATTAATAGGAAAAGTGTTAAAACACAGAAGAGTCTAAAATATGGGTAAAAATAAGTAGAAAAACGTGTTAACACAGTAATATAAAAAACAGTTGAAAATAAGAAGAAAGGTGTTATAAGAGGCCTCAATGTTTGTGTTGTTTTGTTTTTTGTCTGCTGTGTTTGTTGTCTTTATGTCTTATGTTCAATGTAAGAATACTTGAACTCATACAATTTAAAAGTTTCAGTGAAAGATAAGAATTGACAGAGACAAATTTAGGTTAATATCTATATAAATTCTAAATATCATAAGTCAGAAA